TGCTTAAATGTTTCAATGTCAAAACTACATTAATGTTTCATAATTAGTGATAAAAGTGAGCTGAGAATCTATATTACTCATATCTAAATTTATATGGCAGTGTTTAATTAGGCACGAAGTTTAAGAAAGAATGATGATTTTTAAAACTTTTGGTTCCCAACAAGCCATAGATTGTGGCTAACTATAAATTGTCTAACTAAAGTTAAATGAAAAGTTTAAAGTTAAATTTACTTTTAAATAAGAAAATATTATATTCTTTTGGGACATACTAAAAAGGAAAAGTATGACAAATAAATTGGACGGAGAAAGTAATTAACTATGATTAAGTAAAAAAATACATTTTGTAAAGATTATACAGATCGATATCATCCATTTATTAATTTGGTACAAATATCAGCATATAGTGAAATTCTCAATATTTTACTTACTTTGATTCTTGTTTTAAAATGTTTTCAGGTCAAAGTTTGTTGTTCAGTAATATTCTTATCCGTTTGTCTTCTTCAATATATTTCATGGTTAAGTTACTTGTATTCTGTGATTCTATTAAACCTTCAGAAACTCTCACATGTGATATATCCCCTACCTAAGTTGAAACCTGAATAATATTCTGTGTTTCTATTGCTTGTGATCTGGCCACATGATTCCACTACCGTGCATGCTTAGTTATACACTGGAGATTTAGGTGTATTATCCCGGTATAAAATTTGAGATTAAATTTATTTTGTGTTTGGTTAGAAGATTAGCTAAAATGGTATTATTTCTATATTAAAATTTTGGTATCGTGATGAGTATCCAAAAAATATAAAGGGCAGTCCGGTGCACCAAGTTCCTGCTATGCGCGGGGTCCGGGGAAGTGCCGGACTACAAGGGTCTACAGTACGCAGTCGTACCCTGCATTTCTGCAAGAGGCTGTTTACACGGCTTGAACCCGTGATTTTCTGATCACATGGCAGCAACTTTACCAGTTACGCCAAGGCTCTCCTTCATTATCCAAAAAATATAATCCGGAAATATCCTAGATTTTGAACCAAACGGCCCCTAAGATATAACGAATAATATATATTAATATCTTCACATGGATTTATGTATAAGTTACAATGAATGCTAACATCATGAAAGCTTTAGAGAACTGCATCATAATTTCTTGTTACACTTGCATAACAAATTAAATTGATATCTTCATGTGGATTTAGTTACAAACAATAATCATTTTGAAAGCTTTAACAACCTTCATCATGAATGTGTTTTGTTTAAAATTCTTGCCAACTATTGTCCACCTATATCAACCTCACAAGTCAATGCAAAGTTATTATTATAATAAACACAAATTTATTTTTGAAAGATTCCTTTTATATACTACTCCCTCTAATCCACTTTAATTGATTTTTTTGGCCTTTTTTGTAGTCCATAATATATATTTGAGTTTTTCAAATATCAAGAAGGAATTAACTTCTTTTTTCTAAGTTGTCATTGAAGAAAAAAGTCTAGGAGTATTTGCTATATTTCCAATAAACAAATTAAGGTTAATATGATCAATTTCATTATTAATTAATGCTAAAGAATGAATTCGTTAATATGTGTGAAAACAACTAAAATATCAATTAAAATGGATGGAAGGGAGTAAGTGTTTTTTATCTTTTAAATAGTCATTACTCGATCATTTGGATTTTGGCTATTATGAAATTATTAATGTAGGCCCCAACTATTAAAAAACTCTAATATGTACTTTTCTGAAATAAATGGACCAATTAATGACTTCTAAAAGAAGACAAATAATTGTTCGATTAGAACGTAGAAGGCGATGATTATTCTGTCATCCATGACTTCCCTTCTAATCAAGCATTTCATTATCAGTCCAATATTAAAGTTAATTTCAAAAAAAGCATATTATTTTTTTTAAATGTGACCCTCCAGAAATATAAAGAATGTTGTTGCATGTGGGCATGAGGAGGGGCCAACTTGTTGGGGCTGTCCTCCTGGAATCGTGGTTGCTAATTGTGACAATATAATATTGCAATTAATTTATGAAGAACTTGTAAATTGAACCTGTGTGTGGGTTATGAAGAAGATATAGCGGCCATGGTCTATTGTAATTTGATGACACCCTTTCTCCTTTCTTGTTTTAAAGGAACTTTACCCAAACGGTTAGTCATATTTATTATTTATTTTTTCGAATTGCTGTACCTAAATCATACACTGATATATACAATTATACACATATTGTGTATATATTTATATATCTATCGATTATTTTAAGTTTAAGTTGTTGGCTGGACGCCTATTTAGTTTAATTTTTTTTGTTTAAATAACCATTCGATATCAAACCCCATTGATCAGACTAATTGAGTTCGTGTCACATAGAGTCAATTAAAGGGGAAAACGATTCTTATGAAGAATCACTACAATCTCAGAGTTTAAACTCGAAACTTCTAACTAACGAATGTAATGATGTTATTCATCTCATCAGACCTTTAGGCGGTACTGACTCACTCCTAAACATATCTTTACACTACCCAACTCACCTTGAGCAAGCAGCCGTTTATTACATCCATCTAGGGGTAGCAATTTGAGCTCAAACCCATCCAATCCGCCTAACCCGTCCAGAGATTAATGTTGGGCTACAAACATATTAGTTCATGGGTCAATTTGGGCTGAGCCCAAGTAAATCCATTATTTTTATAGCCCAATGTGACCCATTAAGTAGCCCAACTACAACCCATGAAACTTACTCAAAACAAAGGGATCTCAATCCAGCTTATCTAAAAATTTACTTAGTTGCCCCAATTATACTTTTTTTTTTTTTTTTTTTTTGTATTTTCAATTTTCTATTCTTTTATTTTTCTGCACCACCCACCCACCCTACTCTTCCCTCGCACAAACCCCCTCAATTTTTTTTTTTACTTTTTTTTCTTTGTTATATTTTATAATTTTTTTTTTCTGCACCACCCACCCACCCTACCCCCTTACCTCCCCCCGTAAAATATTTTTTAACTTACACATTTTAAGGTAAAATGTTTTTTTATGCAAGATGAGCATGGTTCTGAAACATGGGTCAAGTTGTGCGGGTTGGGTTATGACCCATTGTTTAGCCCATCTTGACCCAGCCCATCTTAGCCCAAGTACACTTTGGGCTGGGTTGGACAATGACCAATTTATTAACCTAACCCATCTTGACCCGCCCAAATTCAGTCCAACCCGTCCATTTGCCACCCCTACATCCATCCATTTTAAGTCACTGAAATTCGATAAATTGTTCATTTTGACACCCCATAACTCATGTGTATCCTCTCCTCCATGCCACCACACACACAAAAAAAGAAAAGGAAGACGTCAAAGTGGAAAAACAATGTGAAACCTTAAAAGAAAAGGCACCCAATTAATATTCTGTGATGGGCCATTTTCCGTCAATGGCTGGCCTACTGAATTGGTTTTATATGCAACCCTAAACAACAGACCATCTTGCAACAACTTTTGGAATGAAGCGTTTGTACGTTCACGGAAATCTCATTTTTAAAAGATAGTGAGACCATCCACCGTTCCCTCGTCTCATTTTATATGATGTATTTCGACTGGACATATATTTTAAATAAAAAGAAGGGAAGCCTTAGAGTAACGATAAAAATTTTTTTGTGTGACATATAGGTCAGGGGTTCGAGTCATGGAAGTAGATATTCGTATTTGCATTAGGTTAGGTTGTCCACACCACGAGCCTTGGGGTGCAGCCCTTCCTCGAACCCTACGTGAATACGGGATGCCTTGTACACCGGGCTACCATTTTATATATTTTAAGAAAGAAAAAAAACAGCCTTTTAAAAATATTATTCTTTTTATAACAAGCTAAAAAAGAAAGTGGACTACATAAGTTGGGATATAAGGAGTATATATTTGGTTTGAATTGGATGTATTTACCTAACTCTTTTCATAAGCGTCAAGATTCAAGTGCTAATTAGCTGCCAAAATTCATAATGGACTATTAGTAGGTGCAATCCTAAGTTTACACAAAGGATCTCAACATCAGATTTTTGTGATTGGACACATCTATTTTTTTTTTATGTGATAATGTAATCCTAAGCTTTGGCTAGGTTATACCCCTTTTGATAACAGATTACAATACTATAACTGCATGTTAGCTCCTATTCCATTTTTGCTACTCCATCCATTATCATTCGGATTCTCGCTGCTTAAGGCCCATTAAATAGGAAATACCCCTAATTATCAGGATTTTTTCATCTGGAATTAAGGATAAAGATCCTATCCGTTTCACCATAATATTTAGTAATAGTATCGGGAAATATGTACTTTCATTTGCAATATGTGGCTTCATCTAAAGTTTCAGTTTTTCATAAAAAATTAAACAGAGTAACTTGCACTTTTGGTACCTAGTTTATAGGGTTTGGGTAATTTTTTGTCTTACTTTTTGAATCATACACAGAATATATACCATAACTTTAAAATAACGTGCAAATATGTGACCTCATATTAACAATGTTAATTTTTTTGGATGAGAAAAGTCGTGCACCTTGCACATGACCCGCTTATTATCTATTCCTCACCTCTAATATGCATACACGTTCAAGTTCTCTTAGTATATAAGTTTGTTATCATTCATTTTAACTGTATTATGTTTTTAAAATGAAATAATACTAGTAATTATTAGTGTATATAGAATAAAATATAAAGCAGGTTAATGCTCTTGTGAACTGATTAATTGTCTTTTATTTTCATTTTATAAGAGAAAGAGGATCATCATTTTATAAGGTACTTCTTGTTTGTTTCTTTTAAAGAATCCTTTTGGAGACAACCGAAGAAACAACAGTTTTTAGGGAAAATTGTAGAGAAAAAAAAATTGATTGGCTCCCAAAATAGTAAGAATGTCACACAAAAGCGAATTAAAGTTTGAAAGTTAGAAGTTCACTAAATGATGGATCGATCAAAAAAAATCTGTTCCAAACTTTACAGACTATATGTTTTTCTTCTCTTCCAATTTCCTGAGCAGAGGCTAACAAATATATCTCAGCAAGTATGGGAAAAAGTTAGCTAGTAAGGCACGGTGGCAGTAACAGTTCTGTGTCTTGGATCAGTGAGAACAGTTTGTACATTGGCAAAACCAGTTTCCTTCATCACTCTTTCAAGATCAGTCAAGTAGTATTCATCCAGAAAAGGTTCTGTGCTCTTCATTAATGTAAACAGCACTGGTGGTAATTCCTGTACATTGGAATCCAAGACAAGTTGGACTCATAAATACTTTGTTCATACTCTATGTTTGGAGAAAATGATAAAAATGGTCCTTAATTTTGGGGGCAGGTCAACTGTAGTCCCTTGAATATACCCTGAGCAGTTTTTTGTCCTTCAAAGTTGAGCACTTCTGGTTTTCCTCAAATATTTAAGAAACTCTAGTAGTTAGATTCAACGAGAGCTAACATTTGGATGTATAGTTTCTGTTATTTTTTGTCTACTTCTGGTGTCTGGTGCGGTTTTTGCTATTTTTGATCTATTTCTGGTGTTTGGTGTGATTTTTGGTAATGCAGATTCTAGGATTTGACGGCACTCTCCTGGTGTTTACGGTTAAATCTTTTCTTTCACAGTTCTCGGTAAATCTAACCATCGAAGTTTGTTAAATAATAGAAGGGAGACAAAATATGCTTACTTTAGGCAAACTAAAAGGATCAAAACTGCTTAAGAGTATATTTAAAGGACTATTTTAATCTATCCCCAAATATAAGGGATCTTTTTTGTCATTAAGCAGACCAGCCTATTTGAAACTTTATCTTGAATAGTCTGTGATTGAAATTTATATGTGAAAGAATTGGACATACCTGAAGAATCTTCGACTTTGGCTGCAGAAGAGAGCAAGAATATGTAATAAGACTCATGTAAAATGGTAATATAGCAATAGTTATCAGTTAATTAGAGCAATGTGGATAACTACCGAGTTATCAGTTATAGCAACAGTTCCTCCAGGTCGAAGTATCCGAAATGACTCCTTCACTAAATTTCTTATTGCTCTTTCAGGACATTCATGAAACTGCAAAAACAGTACAAAATCAAAGAAATTTAAGTGAATATCCACTTCAATAAAATTGGGAACAGTTCAAATTGCTCAATTTTGCTTTCCGTTAAACTTTTTTTCTGTTCATACCCTTGCCGTTAGCAAATTTTCATGTATTTTCCATTACCATTAACGGAGCGCCAGCATGAAATGAGCGGACCAAATTCTCCGAGAAAAATGGTCCATATGTACCCTTAACTTTTGACTATGAATTTTTCATATTGGAAGTTGGTTATGGTCAATGGCAAATAATGAGACTTTTGTCTAACGGCAGGGGTAAGATTAGACAAAAAATTCAACAGAAGGCTAAGTTGCTCGATTTTGGATAGTGTGAGAAAGCACGGGAGAAAATATATTATTGATTAATTGACAATGCTACAATGAGCCCTATATATACACACATAACATATCCTACTCCTAATACATATTGGATTAGGGTTAGAGTTATTTACTCCTATTTACACGACTATTCTAACACTCCCCCTCAAGCTGGTGCATATAAATCATATGTACCAAGCTTGTTACATATGTAGTTAATACGAGGACCAGTGAGGGACTTGGTGAAAATATCTGCAAGCTGATCATTCGACTTCACAAACTTTGTAGCAATATCTCCCGAGAGTATCTTTTCTCTAACAAAATGACAGTCAATCTCAATGTGTTTAGTTCTCTCATGGAATACTGGATTTGACGCAATATGAAAAGCAGCTTGATTATCACACACAAGTCTTATCTGACTAATCTCACCAAATTTCAACTCCTTGAGCACTTGTTTTATCCAAATTAGCTCACATGTGGCCATAGCCATTGCTCGATATTCTGCTTCTGCACTAGACCGAGCAACCACATTCTGCTTTTTGCTCTTCCAAGACACTAAATTTCCTCCTACTAAGACACAATATCCACACGTAGAACGTCTATCAGAAGGTGATCCTGCCCAATCAGCATCTGAGTATCCAACGATCTGCTCATGGCCTCGATCTTCAAACAATAAGCCTTTGCCTGGAGCTGATTTTATATACCGAAGAATGCGGACAACTGCATCCCAATGACTATCACAGGGAGAATCCATAAACTGACTCACAACACTCACAGGAAAGGAAATATCAGGTCTAGTCACTGTGAGGTAATTTAGTTTACCAACCAACCGCCTATATCTTGCAGGATCGCTAAGAGGCTCTCTCTGTCCTGGCAGAAGTCTAGAATTCGGATCCATCGGAGTGTCAACAGGTCTACAACCTGTCATTCCTGTCTCCTCAAGAATATCTAAGGCATACTTCCGTTGTGAGATCACAATACCTGAGCTAGACTGAGCGACCTCAATACCCAGAAAATATTTTAATCTGCCCAGATCCTTAGTCTGAAAGTGCTGAAAGAGATGTTGCTTCAACTTACTAATACCATCCTGATCATCGCCGGTAATAACAATATCGTCAACATAAACGACCAGATAAATACAGAGATTTGAAGCAGAATGTCGATAAAATACAGAGTGATCAGCTTCACTACGAGTCATGCCAAACTCCTGAATAACTGTGCTGAACTTACCAAACCAGGCTCGAGGAGACTGTTTTAGACCATAGAGGGACCGGCGCAACCGACATACAAGGCCACTAGACTCCCCCTGAGCAACAAATCCAGGTGGTTGCTCCATATAAACCTCATCCTCAAGGTCACCGTGAAGAAAAGCATTCTTAATGTCCAACTGATAGAGAGGCCAATGGCGAACAGCAGCCATGGATAGAAAAAGGCGGACTGATGCAATTTTAGCCACGGGAGAGAAAGTATCACTGTAATCGAGTCCAAATATCTGAGTATATCCTTTGGCAACAAGACGAGCCTTAAGTCGATCAACCTGGCCATCTGGACCAACTTTGACTGCATACACCAAACGACAACCAACAGTCGATTTACCTGAACGAAGAGGAACAAGCTCCCAAGTACCACTCGTATGTAAAGCAGACATCTCGTCAATCATAGCCTGTCGCCATCCGGGATGAGACAGTGCTTCACCTGTAGACTTAGGAATGGAAACAGAGGACAAAGATGACACAAATGCACAATGGGATGGTGAGAGACGATGGTAACTTAAACCGATATAATGAGGATTAGGATTAACTGTGGACCGTATACCTTTTCGTAGTGCAATCGGTTGATTAAGAGGAGACAAGTCCGCAGTATTAGCAGGGTCAGGTGCAAGACGTGAATCAGCTGGGCCTGATGCTGGGGGCGGACGACGATGATAAGTCAGGAGTGGTGGAGCTGTAGACGGTTGAACTCGACTAGGTGGTGGCACTGGAGCTAGAGTTGGTGGAACTGGACTAGGTGGTGGCACTAGGGGATATAGTTAGATACTGGAGCTAGTAGGTGGTGGCACGTGGAACTGGA